TTTATTTTTATTTTATTTTTTGTTTATTTTTTATCAATGAATTTTTTTTTTGGGGCATTTTGGTTAATTTTCTTTTCATTGGCTTTTTTCTAAACATTTTTACTTATTTTAGTTAAAATTTTAAAAATATAAAATTTCATTTGTGCGGGGGTTGAGAGAGAAAGAGATTTTAGCAAGACATATGTTCCTAATATGTATAGAGATAACATTAAAAATATGAAACATTATTGTACGAGAGAGAGCCAATTGATTTTGAGTAGCTTTATCGAGATCAGAAGTGAATCGTGTAAAGGTTTCTAACTGTGCAAATTGAGCCAATTCCAATTTCGATTTATGAGCTACTTGTTTCATGACAAATGGGTACAGGGACAAAAAAATGGAAAATTATCTCCTTTTTTGTCTATCGGGGTAAGGTAAGTAAAAAGGGAAAAGATTCTAAGTTTTCTTGTTTGGTTTGGCCCGTGACAAGATAAACTTTGGAATTTGATATTCATACGAATGGAAGTCACGATCGGAAATACCATGCATAGCCATCACAAGAACGAATTTCATGTTCCATTAGAGATGATACTAATGTGACAAATATTGCCACTCGAAAGCAAATAATATTGGTTTAAAGGGTATTTCATTTCTTTTGTTCTTTTAATTTATTTTTGCTTTTCATGTGTTTATATTTTATATCAAAATATATGATTTATTTTTCTCTTTCAAGTGTCTTTGTCATTCTTCTATCTCATTACATTTATATGTGCAACGCACGTTAATCTACTGATGTATTGTGATTTAATTTTTATGATTACTGATGAAACTTGATCTACTGATGTATTGTGATTTAATTTTTGTGATTACTGATGAAACTTGATCTACTGATGTATTGTGATTTAATTTTTATGATTACTGATGAAACTTGAATAGATAGAGATCTTTTTGAAGAGAATGAGTGGTACTTCTATTCAACCTCAACAAGTGATAAGAAGCCCAACGAGTGTGATACAACCACAGGATGCTGGAGGGCAATTGAAACTGATCAACCCATCCATGACAGCAATGGAAATTTGGTTGGCACAAAGAACACACTGGTCCATTTTCTCAGAGATCCCAATGAAACAATGACCGATTGGTGTTTGGATGAGCACTTTCTAATAGGACAGCATGAGGGTCACAAGCAAACATGTGAACACCACCAAAACAATGAGGAAAAAACTGACACAGTGGTAAGTGTGTTGATATATGTTGTTTCATAGTAAGAACATTTACTTTTGGTATGATCAGGTCATATTTATTGTTGACTATTTGATAAGAAATTGAGTGGTTGGATGTGTATCATTGATCAGGCGTAAAGTCGGAAAAAAAGATTTCGAATTTTGCGACACACCCAATTTGTCGGATTGATTATTAAGAGTGATTATGACCTCCTTACACTAAAAGTCAATGAACTTATTATATACAATTCATCGTATGAAACACCATTGTATTTGTTGGAAATAAATTTTTAGATGATTTTGGTAGTTTTAAAGATGATTTGAGAACTTGCATATTTTTCCTTTTTAAAATTTTTCTCAAATATTCAAAATTTATGTCAAATTTTTCTATAATGCATATTTTTTTATAAATTCTAAAACCTCATTCATACTCCTTTTCTTCATTGTTTGCATTATTTTGATTAAAATGCCATTCAATGGAGTGTTAGGTCCATGAAGATCATCATGGTTATCTCAGAACCATAGTGTTAGGTCCATGAAGATCATCATGGTTATCTCAGAACCATGATGGTAATTGAAGGTGACGATAAACTTTTAACCATCACGGATGTAAGAGAACCGTGTTGGCTTTGCCTCTATTCAACCATCATGTTTCTACAAGTACCGTAATGATTTAGAAGGTAAAATAGCCGTGATGACTTAAACCCAACACGAAGAGGGTTTGAGCCCTCTATAACTATCATGGCCCTGAGATAACCATGATGACCTTCATGTATCTAACACTACCGTGAAGGGTATGTTAGTCAACATAACTTATGAAAGGGGTATGAATGACATTTTAGAAGATTTGAGGTTTTTTTCCAATAACCAAAAAAAAAGGATATTTTTTATAGGGTGCGGTTTGTATAGAGCCTAAGCTCTAAACAATCAAACTAGAGCCTACCTTCAAATTAAGTTTTAAATACTGAAAATCTTTGTGATAGCCTTCAAATATTTTTTCATCTAATTTTAAAGCTTAAAAAATAGTGTAGATCGACATATCTATGACAACTTGAAATTTTTGAAATTTGATGTTCAAAAAATGTGTTAGAAAATGCACTATTTTCAATACATATCAAATTAGAGCCTACCTTCAAATTATGTTTTAATACTGAAAATCTTTGTGATAGCCTTAAAATATTTTTTCATCTTTATTTATAAATTTTAAAGCTTAAAAAATAGTGTAGATCGACATATCTATGACAACTTGAAATTTTTGAAAATTGATGGTCGAAAAATATATTAGAAAATGCACTATTTTCAATACATGAAATCCATTTTTTTCTAATGTCCATGCATCCTGATGTCGAGATGATCAATTTGAAGATATTCGAGTATCAAAACAACCTCTTCTAGTAAAATTTTTGAGGTAAGCTCTAATTTTATTGTTCATGAGCCTCGGCTTTATATAAACTTTTTCCTTTTTATAATCTCTTTATTTTTAACTATTTTTAAACATTTACCCTTTTTAACGTTTTTTGGGTGTACAACTCAAACTCAAGTCAAGACACAAGCCTAGTTACTTGGAAGAAGGGCAGGTACCTTAGCTGAAGCCAAGACTCAAGCCTAGTTACTTGGGAGAAAGGCCGAGTAGCTTAGCCGAGACAAGTTTCTAAACCTTGATAGAACATGATAACTGTAATTTTATCACTTCTACATCTAAACCAATACCCATGTTATTTTGTTGAATCAGTGGGTGATATGCAAAATCTACAAGGACGAGGACGAGGACGAAAACGATGGCGATTAAAGCCAGAGAGTATCAGACTTCCCATCACTGCATTTGATTGGAGCTTGAAGGAATTTGAATATAGGAAATTGATTTTTTAATCAGATTAGAGGAATAGATATCATCATAAAGCATATATTGACATGGGGAATACTGCTTTATTTCTAAGTAGAAGATATTTTGGTTATCAATGAAATGAATGGTTATTGGTTTTGTGTAGTGAAGCTTTCTGTGAGTTTGATTATTATTCTTTTTGTTGTTCTTATTTAATTGGTTTCTCCATTTGTTTTTTTTTTTTTACAATTTTACATTGCATTGCTACTTCTCACCGTAGGGTTTACCACCTCCTCCCCCCAAAAGTGAGCTTTGTAGACATTCTCGACTTCTAAAAGACTTTTACACTCACAACCCAATGATGCTTTTTCTTGCTTTTAACCCCCCAATTCAAAACAGTCAAAATTTTTGAAATTAAATTGCCCCTTTCAATAGCAGGGGCACGTCCAAATTTTATCATGAAAAGTAATTTTGGTGTAAAAAATTATCCGGATAGCATGAGAATCCATTTTCATATTTAATTATAAATTTTGAATTCCAAAAATGATTTTAATCAGGTTGATCTATAAACACATTAAAATTTTGAAAATAGACGGTACAGATAATGTGTTGCAAGATGCCCTATTCTTGGAACTCAAAATCTTTTTTTCTTTTCATATTCATACAATTCGATGTCGAGATCATCATCAATCAAAAGGTGTTTCAACATGAAAATAGCTTTTTCTAATGGATTATTGAGGTGCACATTAATTCTACATTTTAAGGTTGCAACCTTATATGAACTTTTTCATACAAGGCGGGAAAAGTTTATATAGAACCGAGGCTCTAAAGGATCAAATTTGACCCTACCTCAAAAAATTTATTGGAAGAGGTTATTTTGATGCCCAAATATCTTCAAATTGAGCATCTCGACATCAAGATGCATGGATATGAGAAAAAAATGGATTTCAAGATTTGGAAATAGGTATTTTTAGACCGTCAATTTTCAAGATTTTTAAGTTTTCATAGATTTGTCGATCTACACTATTTTTGAAGCTTTAAACTTTATAAATAAATATGAAAATATATTTTAAGACTATCACAAAGATTTCTAGTATTGAAACCACATTTCTTGACATTATTTAAAGGTAAGCTCTAATTTGAT